TTTACTGCCACGATACGTGGCTTAAAATTTAAATTAAATATAACTCTTGCGAGAATGCAGAAGAACAAACTGCCACGATACGTGGCTTAAAACTTACTGCCACGATACGTAGCTTAAAATTTAAATTAAATATAACTCTTGCGAGCCTGCAGAAGAACAAATTGCCACGATACATGGCTTAAAATTTAAATTAAATATAACTCGCGAGCCTGCAAAAGAACAAATTGCCACGATACATGGCTTAACATTTAAATTAAATATAACTCTCGCGAGCATGCAAAAGAACAATTACCGTAAAATCTGACTTTTATTGCATTTTCACATGCAACTCATCCATCACCATTTTTCTCTGGACCAACGGATTAACGTTTCTTCCGAATGACGAAGCCCAGTTTTTCATCTAGGGATACCTCTCTTTGCTAGATAAAGGGAGCAGCGTTTTTTGCTGAGAAATTTTCAGTGGCCTAACGGGATTCGAACCCGGTTCTCCGGATTACGAATGTGGCGCTCCACCCACTAGACCAGCCGTCTCCCCTTGAGAGCTCTTACTCTTATTTTGAAAATTTCCGTACAATCACCCCCTTAAAACTACAAACGAAACTAGCGGCGATACAAACACGTACAAACGATTCCGAAACAGCACCCGTTTGCGGATTTAAAATATCTCTAAGAACGGCGGAGATAACGCTTGCCGTAAACGCTGATTTTTATTGCCATGCGACTCATCTTATTTTGAAATTCCCGTACAATCGCCCCTTTACACGTACAAACGAAACTAGCGGCCGTACAAAGACGTGCAAACGATTCCGAAACAGCACCCGTTTGCGGATTTAAAATATCTCTAAGAACGGCGAAGATAACTCTTACCGTAAAATCTGATTTTTATTGCATATTTTCATGCGACTCATCTTATTCTGAAAATTCCCGTACAATCGAGTGAGAAGGAAACCAAGACGACGGAAGCACGGTAATGGACGCGGTGACGACGACGACGACGACGGCGCTGGGAACCGGGAAAACGTCCGCGCGCTCTCTCTCTGTCCCTCTCTCGGTCAGTCCCGAACTGTTCAGGACCGATAGATACGGATAACGTCGCGGATCGGCGCCCGGCAAAGTGGGCAATGACCGCCGCCCTTGCCGCGCCACTGTTGAATCGCGCATGTATAGCACATACACATGTGGCCGCACATATAGAGCACGCTATCGATGTTGCGCTCGTAGCAGATGGAGCACTCGCTCGGTTGACCGGCCAGCGTCGGCTGCAGGCCCTCGCTCCACTGCTGCAAATGGAACGAGGTCGCGCGCGACGACGCGGACGTCAGGGTGCCGTCCAAGCTCTGGTAGGTCACTGGATCGACGTACGTCGACGAACCGGTGCTGGCCATCGTTCCGGTCAACGGCGGCGAGGACTGCCCAGAGGATCCGGGATGCGGTACCGGCGCGGGCGCGGCTGACGCTGACGCTGCCGCTGCCGCGGAGAGATGCACCGATTGCGCCGGCGAATTCCTATGCGTCGCAGAAGCGTAAATCGGTTGTGGCGTGGGCGGCGGTGGCGTCGGGTAACCGGCCTGGGGTGGTAGATTTACGACGAGCACCGTTCCGCCACCCACCGCCGGCTTAAATTGCACCATCTCGGAAAATCCGGACAATTCCGTAGCGGCGTTGCTGTGATTCGAGTGCTGTTGCTGCTGCTGCTGTTGCTGTTGCTGCTGGACATTGGCAGGCGAGGGATTGCTCTGACGTTGCCGGGGCGGCGACGTTGGTCTACTGGCCAACATTCTGACACGCTGAGTGCTCCCATAAGCGTCCACGAACGCCCACAGTTGGAGGCTCTGATCGACATGCATGACGACGTTGGGCGGGCCGCCGTTCTTGCTCATCTGCACCTCGCCGTAATGCGTGACCGTGAAGGCGATCTCGTCACCGGGCTGCGGACTCGACGCTACGTCCTTGGAGACCACCCAGTACTCCGGACGATCTAACAGCAGGTCGCTGTCGTCCGGCAGGTCCTCCGCCGTGAGTCGCGCCGGATCGCACGAGGTCAGGCCCAGAGCGAGGGCGCCGACGTACATCGGTTCCGTCGAGAGAATCTGCACGACCAATCGCTCGCCCAACAGCAACGGCCGGCCCGTGAACGCGTAGCCGTGACAGAACTCCGTGTCCGTGCGCGTCGCCACGCACTGCTGGTTACTGAAGCGGATGTTCCTGCCCCGAGTGGAGTGGAAGGGCAGGGGCGTAAAAATGACGCCCGGGGGTTGAAACCTAAGACCGGGTAGCTCCACGTCGGGCTCGTGATGAATCGACATGTTCTGCATAGACGGCACGATAATCCTTTCGACATCCCGGCCGGCGTTGCTGGCATCGTCCATGGCCGAGTGCCTGCTGTGCTGCGCATTGTCCTCGTTGCTGTGCTCGGCGCCTCTGCGTATATTGTTGAAGTGCTGACGATTCGGATCGACGAACTCGATCGCGGTGCTGTTGCCGTAGACGTCGATGATCGCCCAGAGCGGGCCCCGGGTCTCGACGCCGCTGAAGAAGAGACCCTTCTCCTCGCCATTGACGCCGAAGTGAACGTCGCCGGCCGACGTGACGTAGTAGAAGAGCACCGTATCCCTTTCCGCGAACCTCTCGGCGAGCGCCTTAGCCCAGTCACCCCTTTAAAACTACAAACGAAACTAGCGGCGATACAAACACGT